TTCAACCAAAGGAATGGGTCCGCGATTACTATTATTCAACCAACTGCCTCCTGCAGTTCAATTAACGCCTAACTAATATCTAATGTTCTCCTCGAGAACTTCTATCAATTATCAATCGTTCGACAACGATTCCGCTATCCTCTAGATAGCCTAACTTACTTCACTAACTAATCTACTTTAACTTTCAACGAGTAACTTAACTCGTTCTCAATAACTCTGAGATACGACTCGTTACCAATTAACTCCCAATCGTTCTGACGCCTAAAGGCCGTTCCGCAACATCCGTGCCTTATGTCTATTTACTCTTAGTTTTAGTTAGAGATCCGTCATTCCGTATAAGTCTTAACATTTACCTATATGCCTCCTACGCAGCGTTCCAGTTCATAAATCCCGCATGATCACATTAATTTAAATGCCAAGTTCAAAATGCCAATCAAAGCTATGCTAAACAAATAACAAGTGCAACTTCAACTTAATTCAAGCTATGTTTACATATCCAAATACCCAAGGACTTTATTTAATTATCCCGCATCTTTTCCTTTCTCCCATGACTAGGATAAATTCCCAATGAACTTAATTTCCTAATTATCGCAATCCAAAAATTTCAATACATAACCCATTCAAATTTCAATCTAATCGACCTTCAGGGTAAGCCGTTCCCTCAACTGGGGTCCAATTGAGCCAATAAAACATTCCCCAGAAGCCAATGGAATATCCAGTACATTTCTAATATTTATGTTAATTAATTCCCTATTCCCTCTGTCATATTGCCAAATTAATATGTGACTACTTTTCTGTGCCATTGACGCATTTCTATTAATAGTTCATTCGCCAAGTCAAATTTTAACCCAATGTTTATTTAACTAACTCGTATTAAATCCAACAATATACCACTATACATTAAGCCAAGATATTCCATCGAATTCCAGGAAATGCCTAACTAATTTCCTATGCACGCAAATTGTCACCCAATATCAATAACATATCTCTATTAACTCCCCTGATTACGAGACATATGATTTGGGCTACTTTCCGGTGCTAATTTTAGGGGTTTCGGGGCTAAAATTCCAAAAGGTCAAGTAAAGGTCAACCCGGGGTCACCCGGGGTCAAGTCTCCCATAATCGGTTCGAGGTCACATGGGGTCGTACCTACCAAGTTTCATCCATATCCGACAAATACTTCTCAAGTTATCCCACTTTTAAGGTTCATTATCACTTTTCCCGGGAAAGGTCAATTAGCACCAGAAAGGTCAACCGGGAGCTGAGACCTATAGGGGTCCTTTTTACCGGGGTGGGTTATACTACACATATAAGCCATAAAATCGATATGCCCTCGCGCATTATTTTCCGCAAATAGCCCATTAACACCTAAAAGGGGTGATATTCCCAAGTGCTAATAGCCCGTGCCATTGTCACCCAGTAGGGTCATCATCCTAATATACGATAGACCATGTCACTATCTACCATCCCTCCAAGTTTCAGCTCCCTAGGGTCATTGGGGGTCGAGGAGTAGCCTCCGGGAGTCGTGGGGGGGTTTGTTTGTTTAAGGCATAAATCGGGCCGGGGTGACCTTGAGGTTCCGAAACTTCAAACTTAAGCTTCCCTCATCCAGGGCTACCACATATATAAAAATGAGCTCAATCGGACCAGTAGTTAAGGATTTCCGGTGGGGCCATTTGCACTTCCGGGAACCGTTATCACCCGGCCCCAGGGGGTCAAGCGGGTCCGGCGCTTTGCATGCCCGGGTCAAATCATCTCTAGTATCACTCCATTAAATTTCATAACGTTCGCCCTTATAGTTCCCGAGTTGGGGGGGGGGGGTTGGCGGGAGCTATTGCATTCACTATTTTCACTAAAGAGGGGGATTAATCCCACGAACTTAATTAAACACGAGTTTAATTCAATCTTAACTTAACCACTCTATTATTTACCGATCTTTACCAGACGCTATCAACGAATCAGCTCTACTACTACTTAGTTTGCATGTTCAAGGTTCAAAGAAAAAGCCATGTACGTTATACAGTAGAATTACCGATTCTACAGTGAATAGCAAAAACTTCTCAGCAATAGAACTCAAAGCTAAATTTTCTGCAGTTTTTTCGAAAATTGAATCAGTCTGAAACGGTTTTTACACTCATATCACCTGCAAACTTGGCGTGTGCTTGAATCAATAATCAAACGGAAAAATAATTGGTTTTTATTTTTTTTTGCTTTTCACAGATACTATCACCGGACACAGAATTTACTTCCCATTTTTGCGTTTTTTTAACCACTGAAGACTTTGGCCCAATTTTTAAAACATGATGAATGAGAGTATTTAATGGCATATATCCGGTCCAAAAATGAAAGATTTTGTTTTCTGGCGTAATTTGGCATTTCAAATGAAAGCCGTCAGAGAGGCTTTTGTGTTTGGAAGAACCACTGTGAACAGACCAAATAGTGGGGTTTTCAACTCAAAAGTGTCGTTTGAATTGCTGATGATTTCAGCCAGGCATTCGCCTAAGTTGTTGTAACATAAAAAGGATTTGAAAAGTTATTCAGTTAAAAATTAAATCTTAAATCGTCTTTGGTATTTTTGGTGTTTTTGTTTTTTGGTGAATCATAATTGGTACTTTCTCAAATTATTTTTTCTCAGATTTGCAAAAAGTGCGACCCTTATTTATATCATCTGCTTTCCAGTGATGACTTCCGAGTCCAAAAATTCGAAATTCTTTTGCTGTTTGCAGGGGCTCTTCGAATCCGAGAACCCTTCTGGCGAGTTTCGCTTGGATGGCCAAACAACGTCTTGAAAACAACTTTTTTATATTGTTGCTCGAGTGATTCCCTTAAACTACACTAATCAGGGGCTGATTTAGGGGGGGGGGGGTTTGGCGAACCCCTTCTCTTTCCCCCCTCAGTTATTCGACTCCCTCAACAACCAAAAGGTATCCCCTTTGGTATTTTTTATGACATCGATTTTCGGCCGACCAACCCTAAAATTTTTCTGAAAGCGCCTTTGGCGCCAATGTATATTAATTTCGAAGGGGAGCGCGCGCCAAAAACGCAGTTTTTTTTAGTCAACATTTTCCAATAAGTGCCCAAAAACGGCATTTTTGACCTGTTTCATCAAAAATTTGTCTGTGGCGCGAAAAAAATGTCTAAATGGAGTCTTTGTACTGTTCTGGGAGCGCTCGGAATACCAATTTGGTCGACCTAAAACTTTTTTTGGAAAATCCGCACTCCCGCTCCCTTGAGAAAATCCTAGTTCTACCCTTGGCTAATCGATCATATGTCAAAACTAAGGCGATGAATTTCTAGCAGTTACAGAGAAAAGGCTAAAAACGTGAAGAAAGTTTTCGATCATTTCAAAAACTAAAGGCTGGAACTTCTGTATCCTGTGACTTTAAAAATTGAATTGTTATGGTTGTATTTTCTTTTCGAACTTATGCGACTACGGCATATTCAGCGCGTTCAATTACTTATTGTCTTAATTTTCATTTACTTTTTTGCATTTTCTGAGAATTTTTTAAAAATAACCTACAGCTTCCTGATTTCTTAGATCTTCTCTTTTCTTCAAACTGTTGTACAGTAAACGGTAGGAAACTTTGGTTGCCTCTTAGATTGATGTTTCAATCTATTTTCTGCTGTCATTGGCACCAGTCCAATTTAGGGTCTATCGTCTGCGCAGATTTATGATAATCTGTCTCTATATAGTCAGCGTCAAGTGCAGGTCAGAAGCAGTTGTCTGGAATCGGTTTCTAAGAATTATTTCTACGCGCTCTTATCTTCGGCTTTTTATCGGGTTATGTTCTCTACTTTCCTTTCTAACCCGCCCCTCCTAAATCTCTTTCTTGAAGCCAGCGGAAAAAATAATAGGGACCAGAAAGGAGAGATGCATATTTACTAATTAGTTTCAATTCAAACTCCAAATTAGCATAAAGTAATATGCTATGCAGCAGTTATTTTTAGCCGAACACCTAATGAAGCATGATCACTTTACCTGTTCACCTTATCGCAAGTTTTATATGCAAGGGCAAAAAAATCAAGAAAAGTCCAATTAAAACATCCAACCAAATGGAAATAAGTCCTTCAGATTTTTGCCTATTCTTACCTTCATATTTTTCCCGAAAGGCAGGGTAAAATAGAAACACTAACGAGACACTTACGCAAAGTTTCAAGTCAAAATGCCCAAAACTTTTCTAAAAAATTAAATTTGTGATTTGAACTTTTCAACTCTTCATTATTTTCCTTACAATTGAACTTTCTTAATTTGTAGCAAACTTCTATAGCGATTTTTTCAGTCCAGCGGTCTTACTGCATTAAATTATTTCCAGTACTAAGTGGAATGGTAATATTACCATAATGAAGCGGTTGGCTAAAATGGACGAAAAAGTGTCTTCTGATATTTTGCATATGATTATGATTCGCCAATCAGGACCAGCCAATGTGTGTATTTCAATCTGTATTTTCTTATGTTTTCCAAAGTGAAATTGAGAGTATTATGCTGTTATATTTATTGGCAATGTGGTCGACAATATTACAAAAAATTACCACCAACCTCCAACCAGCATCATACATGCTAAAAGATCGACCGCAACTCAGTATACTGCCAATATATGAGTAGAAAATCCAATATCAAAGCTTAAAAATTCCCAAAACGCTCTTTTTTCTAATTATTAAGCACTGCCCATTTTCAATATGTCTTTTTGTTTGACTGCAATGTCTGATTTGAAAAAGTATGAATGTATTCAACATTGGTTCACGTTTATTTATCCTTTGAGCAGCCTCGGTTTATTTTTAGTCGGAAATGGAAAAATAGTCTTCATGGTATTATCAAGAAAATAATTAGGAATTAGTTAGCGCATCAAAAATCACGACGCAAATATAAGTTTTGTCTGAATATAATTAATCTACCATACACAATTTGAATAAATTCTGCTCATGCTACCGTTATAATTATCATTTATCTATTTGCTTTTTTTCCAAGTTTTCCCAAGAATTCAATTCCGAATTGTTCATATTCGGATTTGAATAAGAAGATTCAATTAAAAAAATTAACGACAGATAGATCGAAAAAAAAGATAGCTATCTTAACTGATAAAAAATGAATCTGTTCACAGCACCATCAGTTTCGTTTTTCGTTTTTCTCTTGAATTATTTCCTTTTATGGAAAGTGACTTCGTGTGCGTTTGTGGGTGACGATCTGATGCGACAAGTCATATCGAATACTTCTCGGCATTTGAGACCAGGTATCAATCAAACTTTAGGATCAATAGTTCAACTACGGGAATGTGAGCATTCAATAAACCAAAGTTTCAGTAATTTACCGGCCCAGTCAGCCGAATTACGTTTTTTTTTAATGGAATTGGTTACGTAACTGAAAATAAAAACAAAACAGTTTCCGTTTCGACTTATATTTCCGTCGTTTTCGGTTTACTGATATATCGATTTACAGACCTTAGCAAGCACTATGAGCGTCTGTTTGTACGACAAATAACTAATATAATGTTAGACGCAATTGTTTTGTTTTGTCAATTGAGAATCTAAAAAAGACAAAAAAAAGTTTCCAGAGAAAACTCGAAAATGAAGATAAAAAGGTTAGTACTTAAAAACACTTATTATTTTTTTGTTCATAAAAAATGTCTGAGATCATTTGAATTTATTAATCCGATTTCGATCTATTGTTCCGACCACTCTTGAGGAACTATGACGTAGTGTCCGTTTTTTCTATGTTTTCCAGCCAATTTTGACTACATGAAGGAAAGCTCGTAGGGTTTCATGTGGTATCAAATTAAATACTTTCGGGCGTAATTCAGATCCAGAAAATTCATAAAAATGTCTCAGCGTCAATAGAAACTGGTCTGAGTTTTCTCGAGTTTGTGACAAAATTAGACGAAATTTGCTGAGAGGCTGACCTGAAACTACATGTTAACTATCAAGAAAATAATATTTTAGCTATTATCATTTCTCATTCTTGCAGTTTTTTTTTTGCCTCTTTCAGTCTATTTTATAAAAAAAAATAACAGTAAGTTAGAAAAAATGAAAAAAGTTGAAATCAAATAAAAATTATTTAGAAGAAAAATTTAAGTTTTTTGTGCAATTTTTTCTAAATTGGTCGTTAATATGGTTTTTTTTTTAAATTACTATGTTATTTTTGGAACATTTTCTACTACTTGCAAAGCAATCGGCTTGCTTGCTTGTTTTGGTCCGATTTGTCCGGTCACGAAATCCGGCAAGTCATTCATTTGTTCCCCCTTTTTTCTGAAATTTATGACTAATACTAATTCCTTTTTGTGGAAACAGTTTGAAAAGTATTTGTAAATATAGTAATAGATTTAAAGTTTGATTAATGCCTGTGACTCTCTGCGGCTGCAGTTCGAGACCACAGTAGGAACACGACAGTGTACTTCCGCCTGATGCTCTACCAGATCCTGGGAGCAGACAGTGTCCAGGGCAAGATCCACCTCCACTTCTGGGCTGAGATGTTCTGGACCAACGAGTTCGTCAGGTTAGCCCCCCCCCCCCCACCACACGTATACACACAAACACAACTTGAGTTCAATAACAGAAATGCACGAATAAATAAATGCAATAACCAAGAGACTGGCTAGCGTACCATGGCGTATACATATCGTTCCGTGTACGTTTCATTAGACGATTTCGTAAATTTTCCAGTTTTTCGTTCCAGTCGAGTTGTGTTGCATTGAACGCAATATGCAACAAAGTATGTATTCGATGGTCAACCACTTCAAATTTTAGACAACAAAGTTAATCTAAGAGAATTGTATTATAAATGAGACGTCCCCGCCCAAAAGGTAGATTTAGCGATAGCAGCACTACACGAAATAAAAAACACTGAGATTACGGCAATGCGCTCGGATTTTGTATTTGTGCTCTTGCGTGTTTTCAAATATGTCAAACGTTGGAGTGAGTGGTAATGATGGACGCAAAAATGCAAATTTTCCAATACTTACCAACGTCACAAGCCGTTCTGCTTCGAAGAAACTTTGGATGAAAGAGGAATCGTTCATTTCTTGTTTCTGGCCATGGAATCTATAATTTTGATTTTATCGATGCTTCAAAGAATTAGGTTGAAATAGCTTACTTATTACAAAATATTGTAATGTTATTTTTACCATTATGCCTCAAAGTTCGCTCATAAAAATCTCTCTAAAGCCAAAAATCTCTCTAAAGCCTGACAGCTTTTCCCTTGATGCCAATAAATTTGCTACTGTCACTTTTGACGGAAATAACAGGAACACCCGAAAAGTCAGAGTCATACCGTCCGAGAAAAAACTCATGATTAATGCAGACAAAACAGATATAATCAGATTGGACAAAAACTAAAAGTCTGTCGGTTCTTTATTTTTTTTGAAAAGGAGGAATTGAAAACTAAAGATTAAGCTCGGCATCTTGGCATCAAATTGGACGAAAAATTGAGTTTTGTAAGCAAAATCAACAAATGTTTTAGCAAATTAGCGTGCGGAATGCGGTCAGTAGTATACATCTTGAAACTGGCCGAAATTTACTGGCTGCTTGAAAAGAAGTCGTTCAAAACCGAAACTGACAAACATTTACCACATTTAATTGAGCAAAAACCGTTTAACTTAACTATTGGAGATTTTAAATGGTAACTTCCCAAATGGCATAATTCCCAAATGGCATGAAAAATGAAACTTTTCCCGAGTGGCATAAATTTTAAGTTTTCATTGTAATTTAAACGTTTTCTATCAGTTTCTAATTCTAACATTTTGTCAGGAACGAAATCATCTGAACAAGATTTGGAATTAATTGCTTCCAAACAATTTTACTCAACAAATTTGTCGAAAAAATTGACCACAAGCTTATTAATAACCGCAAACTTATGCTTCTTGCTTTGATAAAAAAATTTCTAGAACTTTTTCAAGATAAAAAGTCAATCAACTTTTGAATAGACACTTTGACTAATTTTCTCACTTTGTTCACGAAAAAAAAATGTTCTCGATTTTTTCAAGGCAACTGTTGCTTGAAATTTATGCCATTTGGGACATTTATTAATTTTTATGCCGTTTGGAAATTATGCCATTTGAGACGTAATCGTTTTAAATCATATATTTACTTCTTTTTAATCATGAAATAGTTTAAAAACCAGCCTGGGTTGATGTACTTCTGTTTTTTTGATTTGTAAAATTAAATCAGAAATCATACACTGTTGAACCTTTGGGTTATGTGAACAAACTCACAAGTTTCTCAAAAACATGTAAGTTCATTTTTTATGCATAATTTCTTTTTGTTTGTTTTAATCGATTTAAAATATCTCAGTGTGTATCGAAAAGTCAAATCATTCAATCATTATCAATTGCATTGATTGTAGTTTTCAGAAGTTTGCGATAATTTTCAGAAGTTTGCAATATCTAAGGGCCTTATTTCAGAATGAAAGTAGTTTAAAATCATCAAAGATAACCAAAAAAAGTCAAAAGTAAAATCTAAACTACTAATAAAAATAAAAAGCAAAAAAAAACGTAATAATTACTGGTTACTATTTATACCCTTTTTTGCCCCTTTTCCGGCGTAACTAAACTAAATAAAAGTATCAATGATCCCGCACAGGACGTAAATTTATCAGACCAACAGTAACTATTTTCGGTTGTTCCTCCTGCTATATTATGGTTATTTATTGTTGTTTTGAGGCTGAATGTCAGAATCATGAAGATTTAAATGTTATCCTGTATGAAAATTCTCAGAAAAATTGGACAACGCTTCGAATATTTTTTACTACAAAAAACCGCTGGTGGAAAAAATTTAAATCAATTTATTTAAATTAGATTCAACGGTTTCAGATCAGTAGCGTATCAAAGACAATTCCTTTCACACACACGAAAGAGAGATTTACATTATAAGAGATAGAAAATTTTTTAACAAGTCTGCCCGTTTCAGGGAGAAGCCCTGAATATTTCGACTGCTTTTAAGGTCTATAGAAAAGGATTAGCTTTAAAAAAATGAAATAATGAATTTTTTTTGGAAAAAGGACACTCTTAGAAAATAATTATATATTTTGTTTAAGAAAAAATCACGCTACAAAAATTACAAAATGATATATTTTGCTTATCGAAAAATATTAAATAGAACAAATATCATGCCTCACTTCAATTTGGAACAATTTCTAAGACAAATTATAACTCAGCGTGTTTAGCACGAAATAATTCGCGCGTTAATTGTCCCAAATTGGCCAATTTGGCCATCTTTAAAACACCATAATTTTACGAAAAATGGTCACAGGTGAAATATATTTTTTTAAAATCTAACCAGGACAACAATATTTTTTAAATGATATGCAAAAATGCCTTCGAAAATTGCTACGCGCACCAAGCTCCCATGGATCAAAATTGAATACATTATCTCGCTATAGTCAGTATCTTCAAATTGAAAAATAATTGACTATAATTCGTAAAATTTTTTTTAAAACAGATACTTTTTAAGTCAGCATAATCCATTATAATAGACTATAATCGAATATATTGATATTCATTTGTAAAGTTTTTGATGATTTTTTTAACTAACTTTAATTTTATCTCATTTTCTGCTTACTCCAGTTGCTACGAATTGTTTTTTCACAGAATATTTTTTTACAATTTTTTGTATAAAATTTTTATTTTTTTTTCATTGTTCCTGTTTTTCAATTCTCAATCCCTGGCAGTTTAACATAACTCATTTTTTTTTAAAACCCCCTCTCCTAGCTTACTTCTTTCTATAGAGTTTTACATCTGTAATGGTTTCTAGTGAACATTCTTTGTCTCGTAAATCCATTATAATCAATTAAAAACTATGGGCGCTCGGTGCGGGTAGTTAACTAGTCGAAATTTGTCTGGAGAAAAAAAAACAAGCCATGCCCAAATATTCTGTCATTTTCTTCGAAAGTCGGAACAAAATTTTTTGGCATCATTGAGTGATTTGAAATTATGAGTAGACTGAGTGCATGAATCGATGACCTTTTTGGTTTGATCGAATCTCAAGAAATTCATGCAGTTCTAACACAATTATTGACGCAACCCTTCAAGCTCAAAAACTTTGAAGTTGATTTTGCATTTTCCAATAACTATTGTTTTTCTATTAACAACATATTACAAAAAAACGTATAAAAATCATGTCAGGTAAAATGACAATTAAATTTTAATAAGGTCAACCATTTTGCAGGCGCGGATCGAATCAAAGCCAAACTCGAGAGCGATCTTTTTTCCATAGATTGCCAGCAGGTAGTTTTTTAGCATTTTCAAGCCGGAGAAGGGGTGGTGCAGCAGTGCAAACTGTTACAGGAAGGGTGTCTCTAATCTGCAACAGCAGCAAGTACACGACAACCATCGTAGACTTGTGACAGACTGATTTTTAGAGCATCGATATTTGCTGGTCTTTAACTGTATGATGGGACACCACTTGTTCCTGCAGATTTCACTTTCGCTCCCAAACTCTGACCAGTCGTCAATTTTTTTGAGAGATCATTCGACTGTTTTGATAATTGCTCACAGAGTTGTTTTTAGAATAAAAAGGTTCTGAACTAAAAATCCTTTTTCAGTCCCCCCTCTCACTTTCTCATGGTAGGAAGGTCAAAATGATTTTAAGAACTAATTTGAAAACTTTCAACGTGCTTCCAAAAAATTGACCAATTTAGAATTTCCCAGCGGGCAAAATTGAGGCGCAATGGTTTCATACCGACTAAATTAAATTAGAGTCATACTTACATTTTCAACGCATACAAAGAACGCAGTCAAATATTTTCGCTGAGCAGATATGATTTCAAAAACTTTAAAGTTTTGCCTATAAAGTCTTTTAAAATTCATTTGACTGTTTTTCAACGTTTTCATGTTGCTCATGATTGTCTTGCATTGTTGATTGAAAAATTTCATAGTTAGAAAATCATAATTATGAACATTTCCCTGAGATCGATAGTTTTCAAAACTAAAATAGAAAAAATACTTTATTAGATAATATACTAAAAAGTTAAACTTAAGTTGAATAAGCCCAGTGTTTGAGTTCTATCCATCTTCACTTATGTTTGCATTCTTGCAATAAAAAAGAATGGTCAGATCAAGGCGAAGACCTGATAAATCTGATTTATTTTTAATGTACTGATTAAAAAAATGATTGAAATCTGTACAATTTTTTTTCTTGAGTTCACCCACACGCTGTGTATGGTACAAAGTGACATCTTTTGCGTCAGCTGACGCAAAACTGGAGTTTGATAAAAACCGATTTGCTCACCTCAAATGCATTTTGATTGATTTAAGTTTCCACTTATGTTTAAAGGGCGAAATTTATCAGGCGTATATTATGCCAAATTGGCCGAACTGGCAGTTTTCAAACCTTCATATCTGCATGAAATATGATCAAACCTTCAATTCTGCATAAAAAATTTTTCAAGATTTATTTTCAGACTATCAATGGTTCGCTGGTGAAAAAAAATTGGTTCTCAGATGATATAAAAATGACCAATTGAAAACGGATAATTGTATTGAAAAAAAAGCATCCTTTAAA